GTGGCAGGCTATGGACATCCCTGTTTGGGAGATGATGTATTTAACTTTGAGCTTGTATTTTCTTCCCTACCAGTCGGTGTTTTCTGCTGCTGCCCAGACTGCGCTGCCGCGGTCTGCCTTGCTGTCCGTCTGTTTGTTGGTCTCTCTGTCTCTTTCTGTCTGTCTCTCCGTCTGCCTCTCTCACTCTCCCTCTGTGTCAAACGCACACCCATGCATGCACACGCACACCTACACCCACACCCACACCCACACCCACACCCGCACCCACACCCACATCCACACCCACACCCACACCCACACCCACACCCACACACACACACTCAGGGCATAATCACGGCCATGTTGCAAATGGGGTCACCGTGGCAAATGTCAGCGGCCTGTCGAGCCCCGGGTTTCAGGCTTAGCCAAAGGGGAGCACCTCGGGAAGTGCTGTGCTCGCGAATTCTCTTTTCTTTTTGCTCAGCACACTTGTAACTTTTGACACAGGTCAGGGCCTAGTTGCACTACTCGCCATCCGCCACATTTCGTGGCAGATGAGTGGAGAGTGAAAAAAAATGAGAATCGTGTCGAACTGGAGGCCTGGTTGCACTTACTCGGCACAATATTTCTTCTTAAGTTAAAGAAACTTGTCTGCCCGATCTCGACTCCTGAAGCCGTGCACTGTCCAGAAAGTTGTTTTGTGGAGAGGTCCGAGGACCACACGGGGACCCTCCACAAACCACGTGCACAGGCGGGGAAACCGAAAACACTCGCCACAACTTGTGTCTATGGTGTGGCGAGCAGTCTGACATATTTTTCATCCGCCAAGTTTGGCGAGTACTAAGTGCAACAAGGCTAAACTTGGCGTATGGAGAGTAGTGCAACCAGGCCCTCAATCGCAATCGGAACACACATTGTCAACAAAAATGCCTCCATTAGAAACATTGGAAAGTACCTCCACAGCAGGCAACACGCGGGGGACTGTTTTGCCGTGTAGCCCATTGGAATACCTGTACGTAATGGGTTTGTTCCTGTGGCAGAGCCTCCGCCACGACAGGTAAGATAGTGCAGACTGTGCACTGTTCCTGCGTCCTCCTCCCCTGACTGACTCTTCCACGATCATGTTGTCTCCTTCCCTGACTCTTCCAGCATCATGCTGTCTTCCACTGGCTGGTGTTAGCTGGAATAGACTGAGTTTGTGGATGACGGTACTATAGGACCAAGCTTCCACAGAGCAGTGACCCATTTCCACCAGCTGACCTCCCACCGGGCCACCACAAATCACCAGTTCATCGCATCTGGACTGCGCAGCAAAAAGTTTCTGAATGACGGGACACACTGCATAGGTCGCCAGGGACCCATGGGGCCTCACCAAACAACACAAAATGAATAAAACATGCTGTTTCTTCCCAGAGAAGGGGCTAGATACATCCATAATGCATTATGAATCTTTCCACCTGCAGGAAGATGCACTCTTTTTGTTTTCCTTTTGAATTGAATTTCTTGTGTTGTGTGCCAAGGCTCATTTGCAAGCCGAGTGCATTGGATCATGGGAGACGGGGGGTTCAATATGGGATGCAAATGGATGGGAGGATTCGCACGAGATGGAGCTTGGCAGTTCAGTCTTAAGACCACCAGTACTTGGCCCAGCTATCGGCCGCGGAAAAAAATAGAGTAGAAACGCTTCTAGTCGGATGAATTTGGGCGCTCCTGTAGTAGCCCGTACGTTTCCTAAAATAGTAGCGCGTTATGGCACGTTAATGGGCATGACTCTAGGAAGTACTGGTGGTTTAAAACCACAAATACCTTTGGCGGACGACATTTTTCCGACCCTGGAAAGACCCTGTGCGTCAAAGAAAACAAGAAGAGTGCATCTGTCTCTTTCTTTCTCTCTTTCGGGCTGGGGCCTTCTTTCGGGCTAAGGCCTTCTTTCGTGCTAACGGCCGCATCGGAGAAAAAGGCTAAAGTTCGAATCCAGCTGAGATCATACAAAACCCATAACTACATTTACCAACTGGCCCTGGGCTAGCATAGTTGGTGCACACAACGACCCGTTGAAAAACAGACCGAAGTTCGAATCCAGCTGAGATCAGATGAACAGAATAAAATGATTCTGAATTACTTGGGCACGGGCAGCTCAATCATGATCATGTCTCAAGCTCAATCATGATATCTCAAGGCGGTCCCCCTTCAATACACTTAGGAAAGTTCTACTGTCAGTATGGCCTAAAGGTCCTTTGTTATGTATCGGAGTAATTATACTACCAGGCACATGAGCCGCGGGGAGAGGGTCACAAGTCAATGCCAAATCTTTTGATGTGCGAAAGATATGCAGTGCCACGAATGGCGACCAACAATGTATGAAACAACTCAGTGGGAGATCCATCCAAGCCTGTTGCTTTTCCAAGAGGCAACCTACAGAAGGGTTTCTTTTTTTTTTTTTCTTTTTTTTTTTTTTTTGGCAGGGCCCATGGATGTCTCTGGATTGCAGTTGCGGTCCAGACTCCAGATACATCGTATGCTCTGGCATGAAACAACTCAGTGGGAGGTTTAAAAAAAAAAAAAAAAAAAAAAAAAAAAAAAAAAGAAGCTCAGTGGGAGGTCCATCCAAGCCTGGAGCTTTTCCAAGAGGCAACAGTGACCTAAAGAATTGCTTTTTTTTTGTTTTTTTTGAGGGGCTCTTGGACTTCTCTGGACTGCAGTTGCGGTCCAGATACATCCTATGTTCTGTCGTCCTGAGCACACCAGACCATAGGATGGTCCCCTTTTTTTCCTCTTAAACCACTAAGTACTTGGCCCAGCTATCGGCCGCGGTGCTTTCCCGTTAACGCGCTGCGCCTTTAGGGCTTCGGGGTACTGGACCACAATGGCTGGAAGCGCCAGCCAAAAAAAATTCAAAATGGTACCCGGGCGCTTCGGCGAAAATTGGCGCGCAGGGGCATTCCAGGCTCGGCATAGATAGCTGGGCCAAGTACTGGTGGTTTAATTTTTCTTTTACTAAGTTATAGTCTTCTCTCAATTTCACCTTTCACTACGGTAACCTACCTACCAGTACTCCTAAGCGTATACAGTGGGTGGACTCCTGCAAGCATAGCTACCTCTCACAATTAAGAGGGGGGGGGGCTAAGTGGTGGTGGTCAGGGGGTAGGGTGCGGCCGCCGGTGGGGAGGGCCTGCTAACGCAAAGACCAAGCATTTTGCCAGTAGCTGCATTGTTTATCTACTTCCCCCGCACCCATTGAGTGCTGGGAACATCAAATTCCAAGAAATGATCGGACTTTTATGAAGAACAACTTCATTCAATGAAATAATTTGCGTCACTGTGGTGCCACGCTCTCGCCACTTCAAAATGCACTACCACTTCAACAACACCTTCCCTGCGCCTATCATTGTTGAGTAGTATTCGGTCAGCCCTGTCTTCGGTTTTCTCGGTTTCCTATTAGCCTCAATGACTCTCCTGTTATCCAAGTATCATATGGACAGATCCCACTAGCAACGAGGATTGGATTAGGCACCTGAATCTGGATGTGTTTTATGCAGAGATGCAGAAAAGCACATGGCTCACAATTTTCTGCACCTTTCCACAAACACGGCCAGATTCAGTTTGTTATCCAATCCTCCGTGCTAGTGGGATCTGTCCAATAATGAAATGAAATGAAATGAAGGAATAAACTGACGAGCAAAATCAGTTTGAGCGTGAGAATAGCATGCCAAGATACACCATTAATACTCAGACCATTACGCACGCAATATTGAGCAACTTCAATAAGAACCAAAGGAACCGATCAAAAAGATACATCCCAGAAGAATAGGATCGTTTCCAGAACAGCGAGCATAACCCGCCCCCACATACCACGCGGCCTCTCCTCAACGCGTTTCGCCTACCCCGCAAGTAGTCTCATCAGGAGGATACTACCCACTCAACCCGATGCTCAAAACATGGAGGTTCCATCTACAGCCTACCTCCATTATATAGTACATCATCCTACCCCTTCCCTGGACCAAACACTAACTAGAGGAAGCCTCCCCATCATAGCACCGGCGACGTGGTGTGCCTCACCCCAGGGATCGTGAGACAGATGTTGACGGAAGGAAGGAGAGGAAGAGGAAGATCTCGACCCTCCATTCAGCACGTCCAATCGGAAATCCACCATGAAACCCATGTCTTCATTCACCTGGAAGGAAGAGAACAGCACAGACAGCCGGGGACACAAGCAAAAACACGAAGAAGACAGTCTCCCGCAGCACGCCGGAATCACGAAACAGTTACACACCAAGGCACGTTCTCGGCCAACGAAGCACTTTAGATCAGCGTCTCCGCCGTTGGTGGCACCACCGCGGCAACTGGCATCGTCAGTAACCACCAAAGAGCCAAAGAGAAGAAACGGAGGAGCGCTCACCTATGACGCCTCTCAAACGAGAGATGAATGAGGCCAGCTCGATCAGCCAGCGTGAAGTTATACTGTCACCCGCAGATCAAAAGAGACCCGAAAACTGTCCCGTGGCAGGCATCAAAAAGTCCCAAGGCAGTCGTATGGGCCCCCTGAACTCAGAAGCAGAAACCGTCTGTATGCAACCGATCATACGGCCGGGTTCAGTCAAAAAAGTCCCCAGGCAGTCGCCCTCCGAACTCAGAAGCAGAAACCGTCTGTATGCAACCGATCATACGGTCGGGTTCGTTCAAAAAACAAAAATCAAACAAAAAATCGGGAAACCGATCGAAAGAGCTGGTCCTGAAACCAGAGAGGTCCCCTGACCCGACACAGCAGAAGCCAAAAAATGAGCAGAAAAGCGGCCGGGTACATTCAGTTCGGATGGTCCCCCCAACATCAAGGTATCCATCGCGGACGCCAAAGGATGCCAATCACAAGCCTAACAAATCAATGGGTCCGCATTATGCCCAAAAACCTTGACACCCTAGTAACTGGTATCAAGCCCATCAAACGGGCTAATTTGGCAAAAAAGCCAAACCCACAAAGCCACCTCCAACTTCTCCCATCCGATGACCAACAGGGCCTCAGGCGAATCCATTTTCCTAGCAAATCTCTCAAAGGCATTTGCAACCAATCTGGGAGGATACCTTCACATGAGAAGTTCCCTCCGGACAGCAAGAAAAGACTGCAAACGGCCAAAACCATCCGCAGACCATCTGTATACCCTATGCAGCAAAACAATAATCACCCCAATCTTGGCCCGTTTCGTCGAATAAGACCCAAAGTCCTGGTATGAGCCATAAACCAGCTTCCCCTTGTTCCAGATAGGATCCGAATTCTTCACAAGGGCAACGGTATGCACCGCCGTACCTTCTTTCTGAACCATCATCCCCGCAAAAGCCCACTGCCCCAAACAATCGTCAGTTCGCTCCAAACGGAGTTTGGATCCATAGCAAGACTGAAATTTCTCAAAAATCCAGAAAGCAGCGGCATACCCCTCCGTTCCCACAACTGCCACGAAAATGTTAACATCATCAATAATTCGGAAACCAAAAACAAGTCGCCTATGAATCCCCAGAGTGCTCAAGAAATTAAACTCAGCCCATGCGCAGAGGATACATGCCAATGAACAGCTGGACGATTTTCCCATAGGAACTCCGATGACCTGCCTGAGCAAAACCTTTGCTGACCACACAAAAGTAAACCGAAGGTCGAAAACAAGCATGTCCCGAATAATCTGAAAACTGAGAAAAATACAATCATCCCTCCTTGCGCCAAAGGACAAAAAGGATTGAGGACCCCTCCTGGCAACATTGACACCCTCATATCCGGCACCGATATACCTAGCGAACAACCAATCTACCGCACGGAGAATGTCATCCTGTGGCAGAGTCACAAACATGTCCTTCACATCAAAGGACCCTGCCACCAGGTCACTCAACCCAGGTAAGTGATTCAGATCCCTGTCCATTTCCTCCATCCTGGCACGGACCTGATCCACAGCTCTAAGGTTAAAGCAAAGCCTGACAGGAAGCCGAAAGAGCAGACAGTTCAGACATCGAGCGACCCTGGCACAAGCCAACCGTGTAGGCTCGGAACAAGTGGGTGAAATGGGACGCCACCTCAAAAGGTCCTTGTGCTTTGGTAAAACAAAAGCTTGACCGAAAGCACCCTTGGTGTCCCATTTACCAATCCTGTGCAAACCCCTCAAGTGAAAATCAGCACGCATCTCGGAAATCAAGGCGTGCACATCCGCCTCGTAGTGCTCAAAAGCACAATTCCAGTCGAAGGTCATTTTCTGAAAATGTGAATACAGAAGGGGGCAAATGACCAGCGTGTCCGCAATGTTCCGATCTATCGGCACACAAGCAAAACGCCTAAGCCTCACCAACCAACCAGAAAGGTCCAAGGGCACGAAATTCTCAGTATTATCTATAAAACAAACACGAAGGGCATCCTGGTCGATCAAGAAAGACGATCTCGTGATTCTACAAATACGGACAATCTCTTTTCCTAGCTCCTCCATGGCCATTCCCTTGGTCCGAACGGGAATGTTCTTGGAATTCCAAAAAATATCCGGGACACCAGGAACATCGCCGATCCTCGTCATAACATGTAAACCGTGCCGGTCCCAATTTTCGAGCACATCAAAACAATGACATTCCAAGTAGTCACCACGTGAGACCCTCTTGTGGGTGAAGAGAAGGTCACCAACACATTTGTTCTTTTTCCAGACGAATCTTACCCGCGAACACAAAAACTCAGCAAAAACCGAGGAGAAAGCCGAACCCGCGACTGCCTTCACTGCTAACCTATGCACGTCCGTAGTTGAAACCAAGTGATCATACTGCATACGAATGACCAATCAACTCCAAATATCGACCCCGATCCTTTTCTTCACCTCTCTGGCAACCATGGCCTCAAGCAAAGATCTCGTCTCCTTTCTAGAGAACTCCCAAGCAGCCTTAAACCAACGAATGAGCCGCAAATCCGAACAAGACGGCAAACAGCGTCTCCTCCATGGTTGCGAAAGAAAGGTCTGCAATTGCCCTTTCAAAATAGCTCTGCCAGAGGGGGTGAAAATGATAGGTCCAAACACGAAACTCCCACCAGTCTGAAGCAACACCTTAGCATCCTTCAAAAGAACGGAAGATCCAGCACACCTGACTGGGGTCATACCAAAAAACCTGCGCACTAACGACCATTTATCCGCCCAGAAGTTACCAGGGAGGACACACAGAACAGCATGCCTAATGGTAGAGGTGAACAAACCACGTAAGACCGAAAGTAAGCTACCACACCAATCTCCCCTCTCCAGTCTGAATCTAACGAAAGCCCCGAGACTAGGAGGGATAGCCACCTTACCTTTCCTTTTTCGCTGCGAAGGCCGGGTCCCAAATCTCTGCCTCCTTCGTGATCGTCTAGTATTGAGCACGGGCGCGAAGCTACAAATAACGGCTTTCTCAGTTACATCCACCGAAACAGCACCATTCACTAGCGGAATGGCGACGTACCTGTAGACCAAAGAACCTAAGCCAACGATACAATTTCAGACATGCTCCCAGGGCCCCACTAAAAGAAGATCGAACATGCTCATTCCATCTAACAAAGATCCCCCTGACCGAACTCCCGACATACTGCGACTTACACAATGGAGACGCGAGCAGGTAAACAACCGGTCCATGATCCCAGCACCTCCAGTCAACCGCACACAGCATTCTCTGAAATTTAACATTCCATTTGATTTCCCCGAGCAGGGACAACCCAACAAAACACAACGAGATACATTTTTCAAAGATAAGACGAATCCTCGTAGGTGCATTCTCCCTAAAAGCCCGTTGCCTACAACCCATCCAATGTAGCAAATTATCCCATAGCCTAAAACAAGCATAGTCCCTTAGTCACCTGGATTGCGAAGCAGCCCCCTCCGGGGAGTTAGGCGCGGAAGGCGCTGGTGAGAAAACGAAGCCCTCATATGCAACCTTAGCTCTGGCCGCCACTATTCGATCGATGGACGGCCCCTTAGTGTCATACTGTAGGCCCTCCCTAGCGCAGATCCTCTTAAGCTCATCTTGCTTCAGCGCGGACAACTCCCTCTTCTGATCGAGAACATACTGGCGCAGAACTTCAGCCCCAACCCCGCGGGCACCTTCCTCCTTCGCTCACCATCACGCGAACACTCTCCCCTAATCGCCGGGTCATCCACTGATCCCGGCCCAGAAGAGAAGGAAGGCGTCGGAAGTTAACTCCACCACGTACGGCCTCCTTCCCCCGGCGCCTCTTCTCTCGCAAGAGCTCTAATCGGTGGATCTCCAAATCAATATCCTCGTCATCTCTCAGATCATCATCCAGGCGAAAATCCTCCCTTCTCCTAGGAGGAGGAGACCACCCCCTTTTCAACTCCTCCCTCCGGGCTTCATCTTTCTGCCCTAAATACTGCCGCCCAACCGCTGCCATGACTTCGGCCTTCGTGGCCTCCGCATATCTGGCCATCTCCGCCTTTAGCCTCTCATCAAATTTCCTCTGATCATCCAACTCACGCTTCCTCGTCTGTTCATCCTTCTTCTCCTGGACGATCTGCCTCAAGAATTCCCGTTCCTCGTTATCCTCAGCAGTCTGCCTAGGCGTCCAGAAACGAGGAGTGGATGGTGCCGCTGCGGAATTCCCTGAGGCGCTTTGATTACCTCTGGCGCTGGGGCATTCTCTCGCGAAATGGCCATCACCGTTACAATTTAAACACTTCATGGGAGTGCCCATCGCGAACCTCAGTACCTGCGTAGCAAGAAACGAGGCAACCAACACAACCAAACGACACAGCAGATGAAAACTTCGCCGAGAGAAAAAAAGAGAGCTCCCTCCGGATACCGACCCCCGTGCTCGAAGAGGAGAAAATTGGACCCGCAACCGGAAGAAACGACAGCCGCTGAAAGTGGATCGTAAACAGGATAAGGATGAAATCCGATCACCCGTGCCTGATCAACACCCGGCAAGATCTCGTGTCATCGTCGTAGAAGACGACGATCCTGATCAAATCCTCGAAATCCCCGACCACGATTGCGATCCTAAGTACCACCCGCATTGCGCCAGCAACTGGGATTCAACAGCAGCTGACGAGGTTCGCAATCAACAAGATCACCCACACCCAATGCAACCGAACTAAGTTACACCCAGCGCTCCGCAACGAGGTGTCGAGCACTATCCGAAACCGCCCAAAGCAAAACCCGCCCTCTCTATAATAATCGTACCCGGATGTACTATAGTATTGAACCAATATCATGGCCGTCACCAGAGTCGACCACAAATCGCACTAGAGTCGCACTACAATAGCTAGAGTCACACTACAGTAGCTAGATATCACTAGAGTCAAGCAAAGTGTAGCCACCGACAAATGTACGAATGCACTTACGGTTGTCACGGATCCCAGAAATGAAGGAATAAACTGACGAGCAAAATCAGTTTGAGCGTGAGAATAGCATGCCAAGATACACCATTAATACTCAGACCATTACGCACGCAATATTGAGCAACTTCAATAAGAACCAAAGGAACCGATCAAATAGTTACAGTATCATCTGGAATGTTGGTGCATGGTATGTTTTTTTAACTTTTAACGGAAAAACTACGGGGTGGTCACGAAAACAGTTTGAAATTGCACTTCAGGCATTCGACCTGAGAATATTATATCGAATGTATAGAAGCTAGCTTTTTTTTTTTTTTTTTTTTTTTACAAGAAAGAAACACCTTAATTATAGAAGCTAGCTTTCTGGTCCGGTAGGCACTGGGCCCGGATTTAAATTAAAAAAAAGAAAGAAAAAAGAAAAACGGTCAACTTGAAGATGGGGTGTGTTGTTTTCAAGGGAATGCCTGAAGTGCAATTTCAAACTGTTTTTGTGACCGCCGCGTAGTTACCTTTGCTCCGCATTGTAATTAGTCAAAGTCAGCCTTAGATCTCAAAAGTTTGGCCAGTGGTTTTCTGAATACTTCAGTGGTTGCGTCTGGGATCTGTTTTCTCAGTGGAAGCCCGGCAATGGCCCCTGTACCTCACTTATTTGCGTACTTGATAGTCTCATTAACAAGCAGAATATTGTTTTGAATATTACGATTGGGCATGAAGCCCGATTGGTCGGGGTGGATGAGCATATTCATATGGGGCAGGAGCCTCTTGGTCAGCGCCTTCGCGACCATCTTGTACGGGACCGGAAGTAGGGTTATAGGTCTATAATTTCTGATGTCCTTTTTGTCGCCCTTTTTATATAGCAGTGTGGTGACTCGCTGACCCATCATGCCCCCAAAGGTACCCTCCTTCTGGATCGCCAAGATATACTCCATCAGGTCGTCCTTAAGAAGATCCCAAAATTGAGTCCAGAACTCTTTTGGGAATGAGTCAATACCCGGGGTCTTTTCATCCTCCATGTCCTTCAGCGCCTCCAAGATCTCTTGTTGAGTCAGAGGGGCGTCAAGGTCTGTCTTTTGAGAGTCCGTGAGGCGAGAGCAGACTGCAGCCAGCAGGTGTGCCCTTGCCTGACGGACGCTGTCTATGGGCTTGTTCGGCGTTTGGGAGGTGAAGAGGTTCCGGTAGTATTGGGTTGCATACTCTGTTATGGAGTAGGCGTTGGTAGCTGGTTGTGCCGCAGCATCCAGGGGGTGTTTGAGCACAGGAACTGTGTTGGCTCTCGCCCTAGCTCTTGCTTTGTTGAAGAAGGACTTGGCCATTGTGCCATCTGTGTGGGCACGTTTTATCCTAGCGAGTATTCTCCAAGTCTGCGTTTGCTACTCTATGTGGGCTTGGAGGTGGTCTCTAGCTTCCTGCAGTTTGTCATATGTGGCAGGATCTTGTGGATCGTGCATGAGTTGGTCGTCCCAATCTTCTAGGTCCTTCATCAATTTTTCAAGGAGAGCTTTACGGTCTCTGGCGTGTTGTATGGAGAGCTTCTTGACTCTTTCTCTCAGTTGCGCCACACCGTCATTGAACCATTTGACAACATCCTCTGATACCGGCTTGCGGGTTTGCCAATACTCCCAGAACGAAGTTACGGTGTCCTTGAATTTGGCAAGGGGAACCAGTGAGGTATTGAGTTTAAAGAAGCCCGGGCCCCTTTGGATATGACTGTGTCAAGATAGACCCAAAGTGATCATGCGATGGTCAAAGGACTTGCACGGGCTGATGGCGGTTATTTTCTGCTGTCGTCACCAGGCCGACCAGGTCCTTCGATACTAACGTGAGGTCTATGCGAGAGTTGGCGATGCCTCTTTCACCTCTGGAGGACATACAGGTATAAGCGCGCTGAGAGGGATGCAGTTGTCTGTACATATCCACCAGCTCCCGGTCCGCCATGAATTGCCTGAGCATGAGTGCATCCACGCCCACGCTGGTCTGCTGCAGATCCTCTTGGTCAGTAGTGTGGGAGGGGGACCTGCGATCCATAGCTGGGTCAAGGGCGGTATTAAAGTCACCCACTAGTATGTGCGGGGCGTCCACCGGCAGCCTGTCTTGAAGGGAGGCCCAAAGTTCTATCCTATCCACTGGATTATTCGGTGCATACACATTGGTGAGGTAGAACTCTTCTTGTTCCAAGGTTACCTTTAGACTGATCCACCTGCCCTGCTGGACATCTCTATCCACCCCAACGGGAATCAGTTTGGAGGAGGGGGGGAGCCATATCGCCACTCCTGCCGACGCCCTGGCTGTAGCCGGAGCAGCATAGGAGACATAGGGCCATATGAATTTTCCTTTAGCATTATGCGTTGGTGTGTCCTGCAGGTGCGTTTCTTGCACACAAACTGCATCCGGCCATGACCCCGTCATTGCAGGTTTAATCATATTGAAAATCGCCTYTTTTTTATCCACCGACGYCTGGATTAGCCCATTGACATTGAGAGATCGAATGTCCAAGTCYGCCTGAGCCAATTTGGTCGTYCATAGGGGCGGCCTCTTGACTCTAGGGAAAACTTGGGGYGGCGGTGGGCATTGGGGGGGCGATGATCGGAGGGGTGGTGGGTGCGGTGGACAGGGAGCCCCATTCGGGGTCTGAGCACCATCGGGAGGCGGCATATTATTTGGTAGTGGCGGGTCCATCGTTCTATCACCACTTTACAGTTGCTGGGACTGATTTTCAGGGCAGCACCTTGACAGGAAGCACAAACGGCGGGTCAGTCCATATCTTCCAATTACCATAGCAGCATCATGATGCAGAAAACCAGCAGTCAGTGCCAACTGGCAAATTGAATCTGATTTTATCGGGATTCGAACTTGGGTCTGCATTTCAACAGCGGGACGCTGGACCCGGTTTCCAGCAGGTGCTGCTCCCCACCAATAGACAGAGCTTGTTGTCAAAAAAAAAAAAAAAAAAAAAAAAGAGTTATGCACCGCAAAGTTGTTCTAGTTCACTGGAAAATTTATTGAGGGCGTACGATCTGCACAACTGTACACCTCTTCTAAGATCTAGTAGTACAGAGAAAAAATTGATCCGGACCATGAAACTTTATGGTTTCCACATCTTGCAGCAAGGGCAATAAAAACTCCGGCATCAGAAGGACATCTTTTTGCGATCTTTGTGATCTTTCCTCTACCTTCTTTCTCTGGATTTGAATATTCCCTGCGGAGTCTTTTACTTTTGTTGTTTGGGGTTTGTCCATTTGATGTTACTGGGAAGAGATGGATGTGATGTTACTAGAAGCTCCTACATAGGTCAGCGTCAACAAATATCACATTGAATGGCCACTCGGCGGCTCCGATCGGCGATCCTCCTTCAGAGGTCGGTTAGGCAAGGGGACCCCATTGCCCCCTTGCTTTTTGTTATAGTAATGGAGTCCTTGGCCGCCCTCATCAGAGCCCACCCACAGATCCACAGAATCCCCATCCTAGAGCTGCCAGAGCATCTCATACTGATCACATCCGATTCGCTGTTCACGGATGACCTTACGGTGCTAATCAAAGCAGACGACCAAAGCCTCCACGCTTGCTTTTTTTTTTTTTTTTTTTTTTAAGTTCATCGGTGTTAGTGATGCTGATAAGAGTAGACACCACTAACACCTGGGGAGAGGCTCCATCTATTGGTGGGGAGCATCACCTGCTGGAAAACGGGTCCAGTGTCCCATATACAGCCAATGGTACTGTCGGAAAACAATGAAACCAGCAACTGTGAGATCCCCTCCTCTGTGCCTCTTCACCCTCCAAAGAAGGGCGCCATCTAAAGTTGATAAGACCTGGCACTAAGGGTTGTCGATCTATATTTACGACTAAGATCTTTTAACCCTCGACTTTACTTTTCCTCCATCCATACCGCACCACTGCATTCCTACTAGGCAGTTGGAAGGGGGAGAAAGGGGTCAGGGAATTCTTCAAGGGGTTTCAGAGGTAAAGGCTGTATCTATTTTGACCTAGCCATGGGACATCAGACAGAGACAGGCTGATTCCACCCTCCCACCCTGACCCCTACTAGCTACCAGGTGTCGTTTCTCCCTTGCCCGATCCTTGTGTCTTGCTGCTTCCTTCTGCTAGGAATCCCCTCCTCCATACCACTGCTCCCCTACCATAGCTAGAGTTGGTGGTGGGAAAGGGTCGGGGAAGTCCGACGCTCGTAGGGGTTGCGATTGCGGGGCTTGCTTCGTCGGCAAACTTCGCAAGAGTCGCAATACCGAGTGACATCGGTAATGAGGTCGGGCCATCGGAATCGTTGTCGAAGCCGTGCAATAGTGCGGTTGACTCCGAAATGGCCGGTGAGTCGCGAGTCATGGTACTCCTCGAGAAGGCGAGTCTGAAGACGACGGTCTCGTGGGACACACAATAAGTCCTTGCCTCTCGAGTGGAGGAGAAAGTACCCGTCGGCAATGCGATAGTGGCTGGCCGGCGGGTGATCCGAAGATAGTTGCGCATACAACGTGGCGAGGTTCGGATCCGACTCATATCCCCGAATGAAGTGTCGCTGAAGTTCCTCGTCGATTGCGAAGGCATGATGTGTCGTAGCGCAAAGATCAGGTCTTCGCGATAGTGCATCTGCTGCGCGATTGGAGAGGTCGGGAAGATGTTTTGGTGTGAAGTCAAATTGGTCGATGAAGTACATCCATCATCCGATCGTGCTGCTCACCGTATCCTGCGTCTTATAGTAGGTCAATGGGTTGTTGTCCGTGACCCATGTGAACCTACGACGCCCAAGGAGGAAGTGCTGCCATCGCTTAAGAGCCATCACGAACGCGAGCAACTCCTTCTTCCTTGCATCATCAAGCGAGTTAATGGGAGACACTTTGTGGCTGAAATACTCCACAGGGTGCCAGTCGTCGCCGTCGTGTTGTTCCAAGACTGCCCCAATGCCATAGTCGGAAATGTCAGTTGTCACTCTCGTAGGCAGGGTGGGGTCATAGATGCTAAGGACGGGTGCCATGAGCATGACCGTCTTAAGTGCTCGGAATGACCGGCGTGCGTCGTCATCGAATACGAATGGCACCTTTGGCGATTGTAATCTCGTCATAGGTGCAGCAATCCTTGAGTATCCGGTGATGAATCGCTGATAGTAGCCCGCCAACCCCATGAATGAACGAACGTCCTTGGTGTTGGTGGGCTCGGGCCATACGCGGAGGGCCTCGATTTTGTCCGCAAGCGGACGGATGCCTTGCGGTGTCACATAATGTCCCAAGTACTCCACCTGCTCGTCCAAACTCCGGTTGTACACCAGGATGTCGTCGAGGTAGATAAGTACGAATCGATCCAGCATGTGTCGGAACTCCGTTGTCAGAGCCGCTTGGAAAGTGATCGTGACATTCATAAGGCCAAATGACATAACCAGCTATTCGAAATGCCCATATCGCGTCTTATACGCGGTCTGCTAGTGGTCCTCCTTTCGAATCTCGAGTTGGTGATATCCCAACTTGAGGTCCAGCTTGGAGAAGAACTTGGCGCCACCCAGTCGTTCGAGAAGGTCGTCGATGCGTGGGAGAGGGCCGGCATTTTTTATCGTTTGCACGTTGAACTTGCGATAATCGATGCACAACTGCAAATCCTTGTTCTTCTTCCGAACGAAGAGAACAGGAGCACCGTATGGCGATGAGCTAGGCCGTATCCAGCCTTTCTCTAGAAGGTCGTCGAGTTGTGTCCGTAGCACACTTAACTCTTCCTCGCTCATTCGGTAGATGCAACCGCGTGGAGGTACGGCCCCGTCCTCGAGGATGATCTCGTGGCGGATGGGCCGATCTGGTACTACTCCGTGCGGGCCTTTGAACACGTCGCTTTAGGTGTCGAGAAACTCGGTGATGCGTGGGTCCGAAGATGAGTCCGTCGATGAAGCGTCATGGGGCGGGAGGGCGTGGAGAAAACACACCCCCATCTCCTCGATGTCGTCCCTGATAATGGAAGCTCGCATGCTTGCGGCTAACACCACGTGACAGCTGATTGAAGGGTGAGGAGGAGCTACCGTGTATGGGACTAGTACTCCGTTCCGATCACGAACGTGAACGGTGCGGCAGTAGAAGTTCACCGGGTGATCCTCGCTTCACAGCCATGACATGCCCAAGATCATGTCGAATTTGGTGTCCAAGATATTGAAGGACATCGCCTCGCTTGCATGCGGGGCAAAGTACACTGGGACGTCATTAAAGCACCAGTCGATTGACTTGTGCGTGTGACCGTCTGCCAACGTGACTTGCGTCGGCTGGGACTTCCTCCAGACGCGTGGGCCAACGTCGACGAGTACCATAAAGTCCTGGCTCATGTAGCTGAGATGCTCCGCAATCGATCAAAGCGCTGCAGGTCGCCTCTCCGATATGAATGCGTATATATAACAATGGTGCGTCGATGTCGTTGTACCATTGCGTCTTGAACTCGCGGTCGATCTTCGCAATATAGGCGTGAAGGTCGACAACCTCTAATCCGGCATCCATCAACGGAGTTGGTACTGCAGTGTGCAAGTAATCCCGCAATTGTGCCATGAGCACGTTTCAATGCGGTTTCGGCAATTGACTGGGCCGGGGAAGGGCGTCCATTGGAAGTCCGCAAATGTCAACGGGTCGAGCTCTTCAAGTCTTGACCATGGTGTTGAATCCCCGACGGTAGATGGCGTCGAAGCTGCCGAATCGGTTGCAGATGGTGATGAAACCGTGCATGCGGTAGATTGTTGCACGTGGAGCGGTTGGTCCAGCAGTGGGACCAAGTGGACAGCATAGTCCTCATAAGCATACCGAGAACTTACGACATTCGCATCCTCCTCAGATGTGTAGGAGGCCGCTAGCAAGGCGGACGAATCTGGCGGAGTGGGAGGTAAAGTCTCCTCACCTCCCGCGGAACTCAGTTTCCCGAGTTGATACGAGGCCGAACATCCTCCTTGCCCTGATCCTGGCAGAGGGAGGTCTTGTGCTTGGTGCTATTGCACCAGTAGCAGCAGCCGTAATGGCCGCGGTACTTGTACTCGACCTCAGTCAAGTGAAACTTAACCCATGGTGTTGGCTGTCCTGTTCCCTCGGGCAATGCGGTTTTCGCCTTCCTGTTCCCTCGGGACTTGTTATTGCTTCGCGGCTGGACAACAGCCACCTGATCTCCCTCACGTGACGCTTGGGTGGCTGTCGGGTCTTCCACAATGTTGTCCGATTGGACTTCAGCGAACTGCTGCGGTCGTGGACCAGTTTTCACCTTCTCCACATAGGTTGGATGCCACGTTGACTTCTCGTGTGCAACCGGCCTGTTTGTCTTGATGATCTCCCTCGCCTTGTCAATGATTTCAGCGAAGGTTGCATATTGCTCGCGATCACCAAGTGCAAGGCTCAATGCAACACATGACCTGTTGTAGAACTCGTGGCGCAGATGCGAACATGGCAAGTCAAGATCGGACGTTGCCGCGATTTTCTGTCATTCTGTGGGCCAGTCACGTATTGCTGTATTGCCTTGCATCATGCCGAAGAGATGGTTGATGGAGAGTGCAGGTGCGTCGTCCACGATGAACCGCTTCTTCCATAGCCATGTTAGCTCTTCCCATGAAATCTTATCTTTCAGATCTGCGACGTCGGCGCCGTGGATGGATGCCAGGTGGCTTAACCAGATCTGGCATCCGCCCTCTCAAGTTGAGTTGAGAAACAGGGCGCCGATGTACGCGTCCTTGGCGACGAACAGAATCCGAAGTTGCGTTGTAAAGCCTTCTCACCAGAGGACCGGGTCTTGATGCGTGTAGTCATCGAACTTCTCAATTTGGAATGTCGGCATCTTATAATGCGTTGTGCTGTTGCCATCCTTGCGAGGGAGCTGCAGTTGCTGAACGTCGGTCTTCAAGGTATCCAGCTGTTTGCTGATGGTGGTTGGCACAGCGAAGGATGATGTCGCCGATCATTGCGACGACGTGGTCGACGAGTTGCTCCAGTTGGCGGGCAGAGGGTGCACTGCTGGACTCGCCAGCCTCCGGTCTTGGTGCAGTTTGCTCCAAGTCCTGTACACGGGAGTCAAGTGGCCGTACTGCATCCTCTTGCTGAGCCTTGTGGTTCCGCATGACCCGCTGCATATTCGCCAACTCGGACTGCAGGTGGTTACAAGTGTAAACCAACCTGGTCATGAGCTTGGCCATGAATTCCTTATGTTGCTCCTCCGATGTTGCGTCATCGTGCTCCTCGGATGGTTCGAAGTGACAATACTTTAGCCTTTCAATGCTGGTGGTTTCATGCCGCTGCAGCAGATCCTGGGCTTCCTTGCGGCGTGCCTGGGTATCTGCATCTGCTTCGGCCTGAAGCCGCTGCTTCTGAGCTATTGCCGCTGCTTCAGTCTGCAGGCGGTCAGCCTTGGCTGCCAGCTGGCGCTGTTCCTCAACCTCGATCAGTGCGAGCTGAGTCTGGAACCGCTGTTTGTAGTCGGCAATAGACTTGTTGGCCAGTTGGCCTGGCATGCCCAGAGTTGGGCCCGTCATGTTGCTGACGTGGCGCTGCTGACGTGGCACTGTTGCTGACATGGCATTGCTGACGTGGCACTGCTGCTGACCCACTGCTGACGTGGCACTGTTGCTGACATGGCACTGCCGATGTGGCACTGTTGCTGACGTGGCACTGCTGATGTGGCATTGTTGCTGACGTGGCACTGTACCAACCCGGAAATGCATGCAAAGGGGTGGGTGGGAGGGAAAACGCAGGTAGGATACCAACCCAACAATACTTTCCTCCCGGCCCTAATCAACAGATTA